TTTGCCGCTGAGCTAAATCCCCAGCCCCTAATATGGGCCTTTAAAAAACTTTTTTTTTAATATGAGCACATGAAACATTTTTATCAAGTTAAGATTTGTTTTTTAAGTCTAACAAAATACCCATGGGGTACTAACTGTATTTGTCATCATATTGGGACAGAAGCGACATTGAAGTGATAACTTCTAGATACTCAGTATAAATGAGAAGTGGAGAGATAAATAAAGGTCAAATTCTGTTGTAACAACCTTGATGGAATATGGAGATTTATTGTGCAACTGAAATTTTACTGGAAAGGTGGAAAGTACACTTCTAGCCAGCAGCAGTTGTAAATAAGAGTTGACAGCCCAGAGTTTTCCGTTGACGTTAGTGTGCAGAGGATGGCGACTGAGCAAATAAAAGACGCCTCTGCACCCCCTGCTTTTTATGTGTCATTTTCCACCGCGAGTCCCACTGCTGCTGCTGCATTTCCTGTACTAACAGCCCCTGTGTGTGAATGCTGGCCATCTGGTGGGCACTTACCAGAGCAATTTGTATTAAATATATCTTTATCCTTTCCACAATTATCTGCCTGAAGTACTAATGCTATTTTACAGGTGAGGAAATTGAGATTTAAAGAAGCCAAGGAATTTGGCCATAGTCACCCAACTAGGAAGGAAATCGAAATGAGTAACTCCAAAACCAGACTCTTAGCCTCCATGATGGTATTACCTCCTTGAGAAAACATAGTGCTTATTTTTCTGATAAAGTTAATTATCTCATAATGTATTTCACAAAGTTATTTTAAAAATCCATTTATCTTTTACTGTCCTTTGGGGATTGAAAAAAAGGTTTCCTGTTTTCAAGGATCACAGAGTTGAGCAAACAGTGAATAAGTATGGAGTACAAATAGTCTCTGATCACTGGCCTTTCTGTTCATTTTTCCAGTCTAGCCTTTTTAGTAAAGTAGGGTGTGAGACCAATAACTGAGAAAGCAGATAAGACAGAACTTTACCTTTGCCTTTCGTCTCTTCTCTTAGACATTACAAGATTGGGATAGAACCTGAAACAGAAAACATGAGGAAATAATGAATGTAGGTGAGACAGAAAGATTCCTGAGGTCTTTTGCCTAGGAGAAAGATTCTTTAGGTGTTTGGTTTTTTAAATCCTCTTCCCTTCTTTGCCCTGTTTAGGTTGGGGTTGTCTTGGGGAGATACATTTGATATTAGCAAATTGGCAAGGCTTATAAGAAAATAAACTCAAGAAGGTATTTGAAATTTCGGTTTTGATCACAAGAAAAAATAAGGAAAAAATTAAAGAGTTAGCTAAACTTCAAGTTTCCAAAGCAAAAAAAGTAAGAGTTCAAAGGGAAGTTTTGTCATGCAGTAAAAGATGAACTGTTATATAGAACTGCCCCTGGTATATTTTTTAGAGACTGAGTATTGACTGCCAAAGTAAAAAGAATGAGAAAGCTTCTGATGTAGCTGCAGAAAACCTATCAGTAATTACAAAAAAAGAAGGGATTAAGCGGCTTACTTTCATTGAACTTGTGGTTCAGTTGGCTGGGTGATCACATTTTATCTTTAGCGTATTTTATAATACAGTATTTAAAGTGGGTCTATTTATAAATACTCCTTGGTATTACATCTGAATAAATTAGGAAAGCATGACACTGAAAGCTAGACATTGAACATGTAGTTCTGTGTCCCTTCTGATTTTAAAAAATATAGGTGGTTTTATAACTGATCATCATGGATCTTTGCAAGTGGGACTTTAAAAACCTACATCTAAAAAAGTGTACAGATTATGCTGTTTTAAGAATTACATAGTGGATATTTCATGTTTTACATTCTAGCTTTTAAATCTTCAAGACAGCAGCCCTCCTGCAATGTTGCTACTAAGAAGTATTCAGAGGTAAGAAAGTTTTATAGGTTCTCTTTTAATAATCTTTGTTTTCTGCATTATGAATTGTGAACTCTTTGACTTATAAAGTAAGTAAAAGAGGAAAATGTATGGGACATTAAAGCCAATTCCAGTTATCTACAATGAGGGAGTCTAGGGGTTATTTTTCTTATTTTTCTTTTTCTAATAATAATGGTCCACACTGTTAGAGACCTGTTAAGTATTTACATACAGTAATATTTTTAAGGGCAGCAATGCTGAACCCAAAGTAGCGTGGAATACTAATATGGAAGGCAAGTTCATTGCCTAATGGAGTCTGTATCAGGAGACTCCAGACCGAATAAGTGGTTGAAGGAGCTCTGCATTCTGCTCTGGTCTTAGCGTGGGTCTTCTGTTGTTCTTGAGACTTCAGAAGAGTCTGTTCGGGCCTTGACTTCTATTCCCTCACTTTCAAACTCCATGTGTCTTAACTCCAAGCCAGTACTCTTCCTCTCGTATCAGAGTTTCTCAGTAGCAAGCCTATTAACACTGCAGATCAGATGATTTTTTGTGAAGGAATGTCTGATGTGTTGCAGGGTGTTTAGCTGCATCCTTGGCCTTAGCTCCTATCCTTGGCTTCCTCCTCACTTGCACGTCAAATAAAGACTCAGCACCTGTGTGTGTCAGGTGTCAAAGTAACAAACTGTAGAGGAATGGTTAGTGTTTGCATGATGGAATGAGAAATCAGAAATGTCTTCATTGGATCTTAACGCCTACAAATGGTACTCAAGAGGGCTAAAGGTAACAGAAAGGTGTCTCGTGCTTCCCACATGGTCTGATAACTTACACCCTCAGAACACTGAAGATTTAATTCCTCATCAAAGCCCAAGACGAAAATCACAGGATATAGCTGTACTCAAGCCTATGTGAGTCACTCACCAACCTAAGTTTTTTGGAGCCCAGACTTCTGAGGTGAGCAGGAGAGAAGCAAGCTAAGGCCCACAGTAGAAAACACCATTTATGAACAGGGAGGAACACCGAAGAGGGTCATGTGGGCTATTTTTTTTTTTTTTGAGTATAAATAGAAAATTCATTTATTCACATAGGTTTTTATGTTAATAATTGCGGTTTACATGGTTCCTGGCTCTTTCTGTGCCCTTTTTGTATATGGAAAGAAAGCTACATTGTAATTCCGTTATTTAATTCACTTTTATTCAGGTGTTGTATTCCCAAGAAAACCATTTGTTACTTATTTCCCTCCCTCCCCTTAGGTAATTGAGGTAGATGAATCAGATGAGGAAGAAGACATTTTCCCTACCACTTCAAAGACAGATCAAAGGTAAGTCAAAGACTTCCTTAAAAAACAACTAAAATTATCCATAATTTTATAATTATACATTTTTCTATGCTTTTTAAATTATTTTCAAATATTAAAGTTTGTAGAGAAATGAAAAAATAGATGAAAGCCTAGTGCATAGACCCTTGTCAGAAGCATTTTTATTGAAAATTTAAATAACTTAAAAATTCCAGCTACTCAGAAGCCTAAGGCAGGAGAACCACAAGTTCAAAGCCAGCTTGGGCAACGTAGTGCCCCCTGTCCCAGCGGTGAAGATGCTGGGGCTGTAGCTCAGGGGTAGAGTGCTGCTGTGCGTGAGACCCGGGGTTAAGCCCCATGACTAAGGAGAGAATTTTAAGTAACCTGGTTTTTATTTCTTTTTGTATTTATTACACAGTGACTTTCTTGACCAAAGACTTAGTTTCCTCAATGAATAGAAAATAATTTTGTATTTTGTTACTAGTTTGATTTCAGCTTTTTTTATTATCATATTTCATATATTTAATTGCACATGGTGCTGTGCTGAACACCATACAGACTTACTCTGCCTCCAGAGTACTTGCATAATCCGATCCTTTCTGTTTCTTGCCTGATGCTGTTAAGCTTGACTGGAGTCAGTATTACTGTTTTATTTTATGTACTAACATTTTGAGTCAACACAGCTTAACTAAAGCTCATTTAATGAAAATATCTACATAAGAAATTAATCAATAGCCTTCTTTAATACTTTATGTGCAAGCAACACATTAGATCTGATGGAAGGCATAATGAATGTTTTAATATGGTCACTAACTTCCGACAGCTTAAATTGTAATGAAAAGAGTTGAACCTATTGGAATCCAGTAGGTAAAATAAGCCAATTTAAAGCCAATTTTTAAAAATTTTACTATGATTAAATCAGTATATAATTATGTGTGAAATCCTGTGATGCAGACCCTTAATTATGAGTGGTCAGGGCTCCCTTAGAATGTGGACTATGGTAGAAGAAAGATCTCTTGAGAGTGGTGACCCTTTCTAAAATCATTTTATCCTGTTATAGAAAGAACAGATTTGAATTAAAAACATTGTAAAAAGATTTTGCCATAATTTTCAGAAGGGAGGGAATGGCAATAGATTAATTTTCATACGTAATAAAAACTAATGATAAGAATCTGTGTGTTGCTGAATATATTAGCCACTGTTTTAAGTACTGAAGCATAGTAATACACTGAATATCCTAAAAAAAATTATTATCTTCATTTTACAGATGAAAGTAAGGCACCAAGAATTTAAGTAACTTGTTTAAAGCCACATAGCTAATAAATGGAAAAGCTGCAATCCAAAACCTGGCTCTAGAGGTCTTTCTCTTACCATTAAGTTTTTATTGCCTCTCATGTGGATAGAAGGGAATTATCTAGAAGTGCATTTTTTGTTGTCTTTGGCTCTTCCTTTTCACTTCCCCTCAGGTGGTCAAGCACGTCATCCGGCAAGCACATGTCCCAGAGCCAAGTAGCTAAGGGGGTTGATTTTGAATCAGAAGAGGTAATAAAGTAATAATGTTAAAATGTAAACTGTTTCTAAATTTTAAGTTAGAGGCTGCTAGCTAGTTACTAAAAGTTATTTTTTAAAAGCAGTCTTTTTTTGAACTATAATGTTAAAAATCAAAAGGTAGCACTGTTGGGTGCTCAGCAGTGTAGTTACAGCTTGCTGGAATAGTGTCCACTCAGCTGCCGTGTAATTTGCCCAGTTCACGGCTGATGGTAGTGTTTTTCCAGCTTCTGCCATTTATATTTGCAGAGATGATGGTGATGATAATGTAAGAGCTTCGATGTTACTTTCATAGAATACTTATTAAGGACCAGCTCTGTGTTCCACATGTGATGGTACATGATGGTGATTTTCATGTCACAGAAGAACTTGGACGTTGGCCAAAGTGCTGTCTGAGAAAAACTAATTCATAAACTAAGATGTCCTCTAACTTAAATGAGGAGGGATAGGAAGAGGTATAGTTAGGAATTGCTGTTGTCTTTGCTGTCTGTGTCTCAGTGGAGTTGAGTTCAAGCTGCAGGACTAGAGAATCCTGGCCTTTCCCTTTCCTGCATGACTGCTGTTGGACAGGTTTTTGCAAGTTTTTGTTAAATTGCTTGAAAGTATTTCTGTTAGCTTTCTCTCCCTTTCATTTATTTTTCATTTAAGAGGTTTTTTTAATGACATTAAAAGCACATAACATAAAAGTTACCATCTTAACCATCTCTAAAAATCCATCTTTTTCATGAAGCATACACTTCAGTAGTGTTAAATATATTCATTGTTGTAAAATACATCTTTGGAGCTTTTTCACCTTGCAAAACTGAAACTGTATTCCCCTTAATCATTAAATGCCTAGTGTCCTATTTCGAAATGCCCATAACAGTGGAACATAACAAATTCTTTCTCTTCAAGTTCTCGTTCCTTGAATTTTTCTAGGTAACATATGAATTTCATGCAGAAATTTTGCCAATTGCAGTCCACCAGAACTGAGTCCACCAGGCCCCCCCCCCGCTCATCCCGCCCCTCCTCTCTGACGTTCTGCTCTCCCTCCGTCACTTGTCTGCTCCAGGTACTTACAGCAGTGGAATCACTTCTTTCTCTTTTTGTGACTGTCCTGTTCCACTTTGCAGTGTGTCCTCGGCATTTATCCGCAACCTCGCCTGCGACTTCGCTCTTCCCACAGAGCATCCACTGCTGCTGTGCTGTGCCTTCTGTCTCAGCTTTCTTTTTTCAGTGTTTAGTTTTGTATTAGTGTAGGTTTGCAGTACACAACATGAAGATCACCTTCCTTGTGGGGAGTTGGTGCATGTACACAACGCATCTTAATTCTTTTCTCACCCCTTCCCCTGGCCTCTCTCCACCTCTTGGTTCCCTTCCCATTTGCAGGCGATCTCTCACCGCATTTCTTGTTATCTTTCATATAATTTTAGAAAACTTGGGAAGGCTCTCCACATGTCAGGCTTCAAAGCAAAGTGGCAGCAGGAGTTCCGTGTATCTATGAAATGCTGGCATGTTGCTTCCATGAGAAAATGAGCAAGGTGTCTAGATATGTATGTGGTTAAAAGTTACATGAATTGCTAGTTCATTGAACTTAAAGAACTATCAGCAGATATTCATTTTGGACTTATCTGTAGTAAGTGCCTTCGATTTTTATCATTATAGTAGGAGAAAATCATGAAAGTCAATTGTATTTTTATGTTATGTGCTTTTAATGTCTTGTCAATGAGATACCCATTTCTCATGAGATTGTTACTTTAGCTAACATTTGAATTTGTTAAAACCACCATTAAGGGCTGGCATCAAGAAGTAATTTATTTTATCAATGTGTTAAAACATAAACCTGAAATTTATAAATTTATTTTTATCTTCTGAATACTTACAGAATATAATCACTTTATGTAACTTGGGCTTATCTGAGGTTTGTTAGTTGTTTTAATTCCCTTTAATTAACCTCTTGGTTAGTATTTCATATTCCTTCATTCTTACTGTGCATATAGTCTAGAGCCCATCAACATGGGAACTTCTGCAATAATTCCTTATTCTTTTTCACTAGGTGATTGCTTCACTAGGTGATTTCTTGCATCAGTTTGCGAGTAGCTCTGTACTTCTGGCATTAAATGCATGTTGATAACTAAGAATTATAGCCATTTTAAGTTAGCTCTGCACCCAGTGGCTTCATTATATTTTGGCTGAATTTCCAGAATAGCAGTCACCTGTAATAAATTGTAAATTAAAAAAAGCTGGTATTCACAAACGAAAAATATTTTTTCCCCTGGCTTAACATACCTCATTTGCATAGATTAAGGTTTATAACTGAGGAAATATATATTCTGCAACTGTGGCTATATATACACACATACATCACTGGACAAAAGTTTGTCTTTTTTTTTTTTTGGTTTTTTTTGGTTTTTCTCCGGTACCGGGAACCGAACTCACAACCTTGCGCTTGCCAGGCAGGCGCTTTTGCCACTGAGCTAAATCCCCAGCCCCAAAAGTTTGTCTTTAATGTTCACTAACAATTGAAATGGACTTAGGTATTTTACATTTATAAAGGAAACAAAAATGAAATGTACTCTAGGTGAAAAGAGCAAGTGACTCTAGCTGGTAGTATTTTGGTGCAGGACTGTCTGTCTTCCCTCAGGGAGGGATGGAGCAGGGACTGACTTAAAATTTCTGTGTCATTTCAGGACGATGATGATGACCCTTTCATGAGCAGTAATTCTTTAAGAAGAAACAGAAGATAATATATTTATACAGGAAAAACTGAAACATCGCAAGATGAGTTTACAGTTGAGGATTTTCTAACTATTGCTCTTAACTGAGGAATCTGAAGAAGACTTGCTTAACAGAAACTAATGTATAAGGGTTTATGTTTTAAATATGATTTCCTGAACACTACTCTATTAAGGTAGTTTACCTGTTTTAATGACATATAGGGTTCTACTTATTTTTTAATCTAGTTATTATCTGAGGATGTTCTGTACAATTTAAAATATTTTTCTGACATGTTAATGTATATATCAGTAAGAACTTTGATGGTTATCCTTGATTAGGAATTAAAATAAATCCACTATAATATATTTCTGCTTCATGATCAAAGACTGTGTTAGTATCTTAGTGTTATATTTAGCAAAAATAGAAGGAAAGAGCTGATATAATTTAACCTTGCTGGGTGTGTGGTGCTTGTAATTCCAGCAATCCAGAGTCTGGGGCAGAAGAATCAAGTGAGTTTGAAACCAGCATGAGCTACATTGCAAGACTGTCTCAAAAATAAAACTGAACCCTTCATAGCTTTAATAATTTCCTAGGGCTTCTGGATATCCTGAAAGTAAAAAGTAAAATCCCCTGTGTGAACCCACCAAAGCTCACTGCCCAGGGCCACTTGCTTAGACTGAGCAGTGGGGAGTGTCAGCTGATGTGTTGCTGATGTGTTCCTGGGTGAGGCTGAGAGGGAAGGCATGGCCAGTAAAGCACCTTCAGACGTTCCTGGAGAAAAGTAGTGAGGCCTTTTCTCTTTAAGAAGTCTCTCCAGTGTGAGAAGATCTCCCTAACGTGATGCACTGAGCTGCCAAGGAAAGCGATTTCACGCAGTT